ATGCCCACATGCTGAGATGAGAATTGGAAATTTTCAATTCGGAATTCAACCACAAATCAAAGAAAAGTGGGAAATTTTCGCCTTAAATTATACTAATTTATTTGATTGATTTGACAATGTGAATGAAATGAATGAAATTGAAATTTGAAAGTAATTTTCTACTTGTCTGTTTTCTTAAAGATGTTTTATGAAGAACTAAATTATTATGATATTGATTGATCATTAAGAAAATTGGAAAAAAAACATTAGTTTTATTGTGAAGAATGAATTCTAATGAGCCACAAAGAAAAGAGGTTAACTCGAGCCTAATTTGATTTCGTTGTAATCAAACTCGTATTTTATCGTGCTAGATTAACCATCTAATGGGCGCTAAAAAAGACATGGTATTCAGATGCATGAATCAACTGGGGAGATCAGTTAAATTCATAAATATGAATTGCCCTAAATAGGTGTGTTGGTTTAGAAGTATCTTATATTGATGTATTTCAAATTATTTATAGTACTAAATTATTGTTGTATCTATTGATTATATATAAAATAGTATAAATTTGTTATAATGTTAATTCCTATACTTTTTTATCTTAAAAAAATAATCTAAAAATTTTAATATAGTAATGAATTAGAAACATTTTAATAAAATTAAAATAATTTCATGATTATGATGAATCTTATTTTGGCACCAAGTTAGCATGGAGTATGTGCCTTTCTTATTTTGGACCGACTTGATTGAGCTAATAAAATAGGTGACTCAACAAATCTAACTAGCCCTATGTTCCTTTTTATTTTATGATACATGATCAAGAGATTTGCAATGAAGAAAAAGATCAATGAAGAAGATGAAGAATGAGAGAAGAAAAAAAAATGATGGAATGGAAAATATAAAGAATTTTAGAGCCAAGTTGAAGCCAGCTTTTACTAATGAGGGCTAGAGGAAAAATGTATGTGGTATTAAAAGAGAATTGTTGAAGAAGCTGTGAAAACAAAACCAACTAATTCTAGAATAGTTGATGTCCCTAAAAAAGGTGAGCGAAAAGAAAAAGAAAATCATTTGGAAATATTATAATTTTCATTCTTATTTAAGTAATTGGTTCTTTAATCATTATGTTAATTTATGGCAGAGGGCTTCATCTATGTATTGTCCTTTTGGGAGAAAACTGGTTAGAATTGCTATTAAATTTCGGTATTCTCTAAGTTTTCATGTTACTAATAATTGCAATTTGTCTTTTTATTTTGATCATTTGTATGAGTGGGTTTCTCTTATAGAGAAATTTTGTGTTTCTATAATTAATTGGTTTAAGTTTCCTCTCAAATTTAAACTTAAGATATTGTTTAAAATAATTGTTAAAATTGGCCTCTTAATCACCAAGCTCCTAGTTTTTGTATTGATGCCCTTTTCTCATAAAGATTTTTATTTTTCTTTTTATGCCACTTACGCTCAGGTAAATTGGTTTTAGTTTGTCTAGTTTAAAGGTTTCTCTTTGAAGTATTCTATTCATGTTTGGAAGATTATTATTAAAAGACAAAAAGTTGCGATATTTTAACTTTAAGGGGTATGCATATTAATTTAAATTATGTTTTATATTTAAATGATTTTAGATCTCATGATCATCTCTTTAATGAATTTCATTTTTCACATATACTTCTCAAAAGGTGTATTTATATTGGCAATTATTTCACTATGCCTTGTAATATTTTCCAAGTTATTTATCATTTTGATACCTTATCTTACAAAATTTCTGAATTATTCTATCTATTGGCTTTACAAGTGATTGCTTATGTGATTTAGTATGAGGAGAATGTTATGATTTTCAGAAGTAGGAACTCAACTGTTGATTTTAATATTCATCATACTTTTTGGTAGATCACTTATAAGAGCGGGAAATGAAAATTCAAAAATTCAATTCCTTCTAACATTGCTCAATTTTATAAACTTTAATTCGTGCATTTTTTTCTGGTTTTTTTACTGATATGCTCTCTTGTGTCTCTGGTTTCGGTGGTTGCTGGTTTTCTAATTTGTTTTTGAAGGTTTGGCTTAAATTTGTGATCACTTGATTTTGGTTGAATCATGTGATTTGGTTTTTGGTTTTGTTTTATCAAAATTCAACCATGTGTTGAATATATTCTTATATATTTAATGTGTTATGATGGAATTTTAATAATTATATGTAGAACCTTTTGTATTTGTTTGGTTTCTTAAGGATTTGTTTGAATTTGTCTTTTACTTGGTCTTGGCTTAATCATGTGATTTGGTTTTGTTTAAAAAAAATCAACCATGTGTTCAATATATTCTTATATATTTAATTTGGATGGAGTTTTAATGATCTTATGCTTAGACTTCTGTATCTTGCCAATTTTTTTATAGTTTTAGAATGTGTTGTTTTCTCGAATTCATTGGTGGTCCGGCTTCACTTCACCTGTTTTTTTTATTTTTTTTTTGTACCTGATCTTAGCTTATGGTTGTGATTGGTATATTTTATTTTTATCGTCGAACATTGGCTATTTGTTGTTATTGGTATTGATCTATGATGATATCCAATATATATTTATATTAAATATATTTTTATATATTTAATACGTTAGGATGAATTTTGAATATTTATTTGCCGGTAAGTATGAGATCCTCTTTTTTTTTTAACTATTTGTTTGTTGCTTTATTTTTTTGTTTTTTTTTCATTTTATTTCGATTGTTGTTATTAGTTTTGCTATTTCTATTTTTTCTTTTTTATAAGACCTCTCATATGATTGTGGAACCTCTTTCTAAAGATCTTGGATTGGTTGCGGTGTGGAGCTCAATTGTGGCTCAACTATCTCTAGTTTTTGTTTTTTTTCTTTTTCTTTGTTTTCGTTAACTTTTTTTCATGCCTTTTTCTTTGTTGTATTTCATTACCTTTTTGTAATGATTTCCTATTTTTTAATAAATTTGTATTTTATTACCTTTAAAAATAATAATAATAATAATAATAAAGTTATAAGGGTTTACACGATTTGAATAAATTTGTAGTCTAGAACTAGTGTGCCATGAGGTGGAAGAGTTCCTTTTCAAATGTGGGTTTTCTTGGGTTGAGTTGCAATAGGGATGGGAATGCTATGTTTTTTGAATTTGATATAAAACCGACACAGAGAAATTGTGTTCATTTTTTTTTGGAATACATATTTTTACTACATCCATCAAAACACAAAAAAAAAAAAAATTACAATTATTATAAATACAATACCTCCCTACACTTTTTGCCAACCAAACAAGCCTCAAGTCAAAAATCAAATAATCGTAAATATTATAGAGCAGTTTCAGGAGCTATCAACTAAGATAGTGATTGGAACTCATCAACCCCCAGTGGTTTGCCCTCAATTCAACGATACAAGGACGATGGTTTCCCATATTTAGGGTCTATTTGGGGCACTAACAGCTGTTTGAAGAAACAGTTATGAAGTTGATGCAGAAGAAATTGTTGCTCAAAAAATTTTGATGATTATTACAAATTTATTTTATTTTTAATAAGTCAGACCGTAGCTTTCTGACAATCGCCAAACTTTAACAATTCAGGTTGAAAAAAAAAACAACTTCTTATCACAGAAATTTCTAAATACAACAATAATACAATTTCCCAAATAGAAACTGTAGTGACGGTCTGAAAAACAAATGTGGCAAAAAACTATCTCAACTGATGAAATTGTAGCTGAATTCACCAAATTCATTTTTATATTAGAAATGTTATACTCCTAAAAAAGAATTATGCATAAATTCATTTATCACAATTATTGAATGAGACGAATCAATAAATTTTTTCTTGAATAAATATAAATAATAGCCTCTTGAATTTTATTAATTCTTATATATAAAAAATTTTACAGTTTTTTTGAAATAAGCATAATAAAATTTGATTAATTGATTATCTTTATATTAAAAATTCAACTTAGGAAAGAAATAATAAATTTAAGATATACTTTTGTATACTCTATATATACATATACATTCATTTATTTATTTATAAGTGTTTAGCACTATATTTTGATAAAAAATATAATATTCAAATTAATAATTTTGATAAATATAAATCAAATATTTTGGATCTTATTGACTACTAGAGAATTATTGACAGTAGAATGATGTATAAACATCTTAGTGTTTGCATAAATATTAATTAAAGTATTGAAAAAGACAACACCATAGTGTTTATGTGTAAAAGCCCAAAAGAGAAAAAAAAAACCCCACTAGGTCTAAGCTAACTAAAATAATCTACTATCTATTTTAAAGTGCAAAGTTTCAATCTTCTTTCTTAAAATCATCTGACCGAGTTATAAAGATAAAACAACAATCTTCTCGAAATAATTATTGTGCTACAATAACCGCTAGTAAAGTTTGGTGACAATCTCTAGTTTCTCATATGTTCAAAAGTATGGACTTAGCTCATGGTTTCATCCCACATTTTTTTTTATGCAAAAATGTGGTCTTATTTATAAAGTTTTGGATGATATATTTTAAGTAAATTTAGCCAAAATTTCATAACACTTTATCAATATTGGTGACATGTCAAATATATTTTGAAATAAGATTCCAATCATTCATATGTTATACTAACCTCCAATTAAATTTACACTTGTTTGAAGTCCATTATGATTACCTGTTGGAGCATGTTCTTATTCCAAAACTTTTCTTTTTTTTCATTACCAGAAACTGCACAACTCTCTCTCAGTACAGTAGGTGCACCCCCCCCCCCCCCCCGCCGTTAATTCAGACGGTTGCATCCACGTGTGGCGAAGCTGTCAGACACGCGAGCACGATATGGTTGTCAGAAAGCAAGCGACGAGCAGATGC